TCGCCGCTGGAGCCCGGTTCTGATCCGGGCGCACTTGGCCCAAGCCACTGGGATCGGTATCGGGACGCCTCTACAGCTCTGCCGGATTGAACCGGCGATATGAAGACTATACAGGTTGACCTAGAGGACCTATTTAAACAGAGTATGGCAATTTGTGTGCAGATTTGTCATTGATCGCGAAAAATAGGCTGATGCGGAGCGCTTACAGCCGTAAGTAAACATAGAAAATGGAGACTCCACGTAACCGAGAATTCCTTCTGGACGAAATTCATAAAATTTTTAATGAAGTTTTTTCTGAATTTGAACGACGAGAATGGACCAAACTCATGAAAAAGGACTACCATTTCGAAGTATTTGCGGTCATGATAATATGGAGCGCTAAAAGTTACGCAGATGCAGCAAGTATCCTGAGCTTTCGTCAATAATCGCCGCCAAAATTCAGGGGAAAAAACGTTGATTTCCTTAAAAATTCCGGGACCATAGCGCTCGCTGGAAAAAAAACACATTGGATCTAGAGTCCAGACTCTTGAAAACATTGACAAGAAAAAGGACTCTTGATTCAATCAGATTTAAGCTTAAATCAAAAGGAAATCCGCTCAAATTAAGAGGCTTGGTTCTTGATTTAAGCTTAAATCTGATTGAATCAAGAGTATTTTTTCTTGTCGATGTTTTTAAGAGTCTGGACTCTAGATCCAATGTGTTTTTTTTCCGGTGCTGGACACTTACGAGGGTAGAAAATCGTTAAGGATTGAAAGTATTTTTTTGGACCAATAGAAGTAGCTCCTGCAGTCTGTCGGTATAAATCTGGGATACCCTGCATTTAATATCGATTAAGAAGGATTTGGCAAGTGAGACTCATGCGGCAGCCACCCTCGACTCGATTGGATCCAGACTCGGGTTGCGTTTTGAGACAGGAATGCGCGTATATGGAGCCGTGCCAAAATGGCGAGAGAGCCTTCGTCTGGAAGTTGGAAAAATCCCGCTTCCCCCTCTCACCACGGTAAATCCGTCTCCTCGGAAGGGGGGACAGCGTGACGGAAAATCTTTAACGATGACTAAATTACATAGTATTGTCGCACATATTGCAGTGCTAAAAAGGGTAGGTAGGAGGACTCGTATAGGATCACTTGAACGCTGGCAAATTTTCTCAGTTCACAAGTTTATTTTTCGGGAAAGCTAAGAATGAGTTTCCATATTGAGGGCTACGGAACAATTACCAGTCACTGGTAAAAAGAACACATTGGATCTTGAGTCCAGACTCTTGAAAACATTGACAAGAAAAAGGACTCTTGATTCAATCAGATTTAAGCTTAAATCAAAAGGAAATCCGCTCAAATTAAGAGGCTTAGTTCTTGATTTAGGCTTAAATCTGATTGAATCAAGAGTACATTTTCTTGTCGATGTTTTTAAGAGTCTGGACTCTAGATCCAATGTGTTTTTTTTTTTCCGGTAGTGGCGATGCGTGAATGGTTGACTATCGATATTCCCTCATTTGAAGCTGTAGTAAAGAAACGATTATTAAGATGTTCATTACGAACATCCCGTTTATCGATCTTTGTCCGTAGGTTCGAATCGCAGATCAATCGATACATCGTACAGCACACCATGCCACTGACAAATACTGCCTAACATATTATATCAGCGGAAACAAGTTGGCGAATTTCCCGCATCCCCCCATGAAATACGAAAGCTGATAATTTTAATAATTTCCAATTTCGCATAAGAGCGCTCTAATAGCGTTGTAATGTATAAAAAAGTTGCAAGTTGCAATCTCAAAATTATCTAAAAAAAAAAGCGAAATTTTTTCTTCGTTCTGCAAAATCGTCAGGTTGCAGATAGACGGTTTTGTTCCGTAGCCACCAATATTTAAAAATCACTAATGTAAATTAATGATGTCCTTATAGATGATTGGGTAGATTCAAATACAGAAAAACTAGCCTATTTTTCCTGTGACGCTTCCAGCTCGAAGTTTGAAGTCTCGTTGACACTTTGAACCAGCGCATCGGGTAATCATCCACAAAGTCTCTTTAACTAGTCGTTTATAAAATAAACTGAGAACGTGAGCAGATAGCGGATGATTTACGAGGGCATCTCATCTGTGATGAACCGCCGACGCGCAAGATTCTACAACTTCATTCATCAGATAAGAAGCTAAGGACTCGTTACAAATAATCTAGCATCTTCGTGCGACAAGACGCCGAGAAATGAAGCCTTACGAGTGGATACAACGGATATCTCATGGAAATAGCATTGCACATGCGTTGTTTTTACACGGATTCGACTTCAAATGCGTCGCGTGGGCTGTAACCGCGCATGCGCACTAACTGTGTTACCGATTCGAACATGCGTAGACCGTGTTTTCCAGAGATGACAACATCCGAGTTTCGACTCAATGAAGCCGTGGAGATGTCAGTGTTTTAAATATGGGAAGCAATCTCAGAGACCTCGCAATCATGTTATTTCCAAGCTTATTCATTACTGCCCACTTAAGTAGCTTTCTACTGTGTACAAGGAGGAAACTCGAGCTACAGCTGTTCAAGGTGATTTTACCATCTTAACGGTGGTGGTTTCCAAGAACAATTCGATGGTCATCAAAATTAACCGACAGTTTGTGGTTCTTCGTGTTTTACTTACAACAGTATGAACACAACATTTTGGTTATTTTTTCTTACTGTGTAGAAATGCGTTACGAGCAGTGGCAATTCTTGAAAGTTGGCGACACTGTTTATCCTCCATTAAAATCTATGCAAAACAATCGATTCTTGGTGAGGCAGCTCACCTCAAGGTCGGACTGGCTCGCATCTGAGGGCGTAGACCCTTGGCTGGTTAAAGGGGCGTGATGTGGTATTTCCTAGTAGGGCATTCCCTACGTGGAGAGGGGTTCAGAAAATTTTGGCAAATCAGCACAAGTTTACGCTATTTTCAGGTTCAAAGTTTATTGATCGCACGGAGGAATAATTGCAAAATTGAACGTGAAGCACAGCATTCAGAGCTCACGCTTCGCGTCATCGCGCCTTCAATTTTTCAGATGCAGCACGGCCGTTCATCAAGTACGAATAGTTGTATCTCTGCGCCGTCGTAAACACGCATCCTTTCCCTCCCTCTTTTTTCATATTGTGTTTGTTTCCGTTTGTCTTATTCGTAATGGTGCTTCAAGCACTACGTGAGTAATACAGCCGAAGGTAGGAGAGATGTCTTCAGGCCTTTTTTTAACTTTTCTCCCGAATCAGAACGACGCTTCATTGACAGCATAAAGCAGAGCATTGAGAGCTCACGGTTCGCGTCATCGCGCCTTCAATTTTTCAGATGCAGCACGGACGTCCATCAAGTACGAATAGTTGTATCTCTGCGCCGTCGTTAACGCGCATCCTTTCCCTCGTTTTATTTCCATATTGTGTTTGTTTATGTTCGTCTTATAAAATGTTGCTTCAAACTAGAGCAGAGCATTGCGAGTTCACGACTCACGGCATCGCGTCTTACATTTTTCATGTGCAATGTGGACATCCATCTTGCGCGAATAGTTGTATCGCGTTTACATTTTCGATGTCTCTTATTTTTGAATTTCGAGATAAACTAAGGTTAAGTTTGCCCGAGCTATGATATGATATGTTCGAATCAATAGTCATTAGAAAAGGAGGAAATATGTTTTAAGGTCTCTTAAGAGGTCTATAAAGGATGCGTATGTCTAAAAATCGAACCGACCATTGCTTCTAAGGGAGTTACACATAGCGAATGAAGGAGGGGGATGATAAAGCGCCTGTATGTCAAGAAGGTGAAAATTTCACAGAAAATTGTTTACGATTCAGAAAGTAGTTCTTGTACAGTGGCGTAACGGGCTTCCACTGGGCCCC